CTGATTGTTCCAGACTTTAATGTGAATGTATGATGTTGTGTTCATTCTGTGATGCTTGCATTGAGTTTTTTGAACTATATGTTCCTATGACCTATCAGAATGGAAGTTGAATGTATGGATACCATACCTGCATCTGGTTCTCAACCTCCTCTGACTCCTGTTTCCCAAGAACCTGTGGTGGAAGCTAATGATGCTGGTCCTAACACCAGCACACAGCAGACAAATATTACTGGAAATAAGAGAAAGGAGGTAGAGTCCAGATCTAAAATATGGGATCAGTTTGTTAAGATCAAAGATAGTAATGGTGTTGTTATCAAAGGAAGATGCATACATTGTGCTAAAACATATTGTTGTCAGTCTAAGAAGCATGATACTTCTTCTCTTAGAAATCACATACTTGGTTGTATGAAATTGCCTGCCTCAAAGGATGCTAGACAAGCCCTTCTCACTTTCCAACCAGTCCAGTGTAATCCAACATCTGAAAACATTGGAGTGTTGGGGACTTGGGTGTTTGATCAGGGTGCAATTAGGAGAGCACTTGCTGAAATGCTTATCATTGATGAGCTGTCATTTAGATTTGTGGACAGACAAGGATTTAGGAAGTTTATCTCTGTAGCTTGTCCTAGGTTCCAAATTCCTTCCAGGTGGACCATTGCTAGAGACATCTACCAAATCTTCTTAGATGAGAAAGTAAGTCTGAAAAAGTTGTTTAGGGAACACACTCAGAGGGTCAGTATAACAACTGACACATGGACCTCTGTACAAAGGATCAATTACATGTGTATAACTGCACATTTCATTGATAATGAGTGGAAGCTGAATAAATAAATAATTTCCTTTGTTCCTGTGACTTCCCACAAAGGAGAGTATTTAGCTAAAGCCCTAGAGTCTTGCCTGGTAGATTGGGGATTAAAATCTATCTTCACTGTGACTGTTGATAATGCTAGCAGTAATGACACTGCAATTGGCTTTTTTAAGAAGAAACTTTTATCTTGGGGTGCCTCTTCTGTAAAAGTTAAGTACCTTCATATGAGGTGTATTGCTCATATCCTTAATTTGGCTGTTCAAGATGGTTTAAAAGAAAGTGATTCTTCTGTTCAAAGAGTCAGGGATGCTGTTAAGTATGTTAGAAATTCTCCTGCTAGGCTTAAAAAATTCAAGGACATTTCAGATTTGATTGGAATGGAAACTAAAGCTGGATTGCACCTAGATGTCCCAACTAGGTGGAATTCTACATATTTGATGCTGAAATCTGCAATGTCCAATGAAAAAGTGTTTGAAGCTTATGAGGAGAATGAGAGTTCCTATCTTGTTGACCTGGGGAGTGACAGTCCTGATGTTGGGGACTGGACTGCAATTAAAACTTTGGTGGTCATTCTTCAAAACTTCTATGATATGACACTTAGGATTTCAGGATCTCTTTATGTCACTTCAAATTCCTTCTTCTCTGAAATATCTGATCTATTCCTTGTTCTCAAAGAGATGGTTTCTTCAAAAACTGCATCTGTATCTAAAATGGGGACTAGTATGAAATCCAAACTGGATAAGTACTGGGGTGATCCAGAAAAAATGAACATGCTAATTTTCTTTGCAAATGTGTTTGACCCTAGAGACAAATATGAATACATGCCACATCAATTGAATGCTTTGTATGGGGATAAGATTGGTGAGGCATTCTTTGCAAAGATAAAGCTGGGTTTGATTGAGTTGTATGGTGATTATGTTACAAACTATGATGTTTCAGTCAGTGGAAGCTCTCAATTAACCCCAAATTCTGTTTCCTTACAATCTGAGTCAAGTGGAAGTAGGCCTGTTTCTAAATTCAAAGCCCAATTGAAAAAATAAAAACAAGATAGTGGCCTCTCAAGCTTGAAAAAAAATGAACTTGAACTATATTTGAGTGAGAACATTCTTGAGGAGGACAATGAGTTTGATATATTGAGATGGTGGAAGCTTAATAGTGAGAGGTTTCCTATCCTATCTAAGATGGCAAGAGACATTCTTGCTGTTCCTATTTCCACAGTAGCTTCTGAGTCCACATTTAGTACAAGTGGAAGGGTGTTGGATTGTTTTAGGAGTTCATTGAGTGCCAAAATTGTAGAAGCACTCATATGTGCTCAAGACTGGTTAAGGATGTCCAACCAGCCTGTGTCAGTTGAAGAAAACATTGAGGAGGTAGATAGGCTGGAAACAGGTACATACTATTACATTTTTAGTATTTGGTATTTATATTTGATGTCTTGCTAACTTAATTTTGTTTTCAATGCAGAATTGACTGAAGGAAATGTTGGTGGAGGCCCTTCTCTTGATCAGATAGTAGTAAAACTTATACTTTATCTTTTATATGATGTACTATGTTATTTCACTAATAAAATGCTTTGATTCTATCAATGTTCTGGCTGTAAATGCTAATTGGAGGCCCTGCTGCTTGCCTGCTGTGATGGTAATTGGAACTTGGAAGTGTTGCTTATTCACTGGTACAATTTCACCCCTAAGTGTGTGTGTGACAACAAGACATGGTGATGTTGTTTCACTCTATACTATTTGTTCCAGTGTTCCATATTTATGGCAATGATGATAGCTTCCACCAAGTAATGAAATTAATGGTAGCTGGTGTTGATTCTATTTGTATATGGTTTCAATGCCCCCATTAATAGTGAAGTGAATGTTAATCTGAGCCAAATTATGCCCCTGCTACTTGCACTATGTTGGAACTACTTCAAATTGATACAGTCACTCTATACTATTTGTTCCAGTGTTCCATATTTATGGCAATGATGATAGCTTCCACCAAGTAATGAAATTAATGGTAGCTGGTGTTGATTCTATTTGTATATGGTTTCAATGCCCCCATTAATAGTGAAGTGAATGTTAATCTGAGCCAAATTATGCCCCTGCTACTTGCACTATGTTGGAACTACTTCAATTTGATACTGTCACTCTATACTATTTGTTCCAGTGTTCCATATTTATGGCAATGATGATAGCTTCCACCAAGTAATGAAATTAATGGTAGCTGGTGTTGATTCTATTTCTATATGGTTTCAATGCCCCCATTAATTGTGAAGTGAATGCAAATCTAAGCCAAACTATGTCCCTACTACTGTCTACTAGCACTTTGCAACAAGTACTTGAATATGATGTTATATTTGTATACTATTTGTTCCAGTGTTCCATATATTTGGTAATGATGATAGCTTTGACCGAGTAATGAAATTGATGGCAGCTTGTGTTGGTTCTATTTCTATCATTCTATGTACTTTCATATGCCCCCATTTACATTTATTGTTTACTTATTTCTGGCAATGATGAAAGCTGCTACTCTGCTAGAGTGCTGGCCTTCTACACTTCTACCATATTGAAAAAATAAATGGGTTGGTATTGATTCTATTTCTATATAGGTTTGAATGCCCCCATTTATTGTGAAGTGAAGCTAAACCTGAGCCAAACCTGATTGTATATAGTATTCATACAAATTTATTCTGAACCAAAAGCTAAATCTGAAACCTAAATACTACACTTGTACTAATTTTTTGACAAGTCATTTACCTAGGAACATACTGAATGACTAATTGACTATTATGATACTGGTATGCTACACTGCCTACACACATGGAAGTGATGGAACTCTGGAAGTAGGAATGTATATGTGAAGAAATGGAAGCAGGAACTCCAGGAAGCATGGAATTATGTTAATTTTTTTGTTGCTACTTGATATTTTGGAACTTTGGAAGTTTGGATTACTCAAACTCTATTCTCTATTATGTATAAGTATTTAAGTAACAACTGTATAAGTAACTAACTGTGTTTGGAGACATGGAGTTGTACAAACTAAAAGTACAAACTCTAATCTAATGTTGTATTGCTCTACAAAATTTTGTGTTATTTAATGGTTTTAATCTACCCGAATCAACCCGAATATCCGATAAAAACCGACCGGAATCCGAAATTGGGCAACCCGAGTAGCCCGAAATTTTTATTCCACAGGGTAGGGTTTTAAATTCCTAACCCGATAACCGAACGGGTTTGCCAAATCCTCACCCGTCCTACCCGAACCCGTCCGATGCTCTCCCCTAATCAAATATGACGACCCGCATGTTAGGGGGTGTTTGGATCTGATTCTCAAAACTGATTCGGCTCCTTTAGAGAGCAGAAGCTGGAGTGTTTGGGTGAAATTCCAGAAGCACTTCTGGTGCTCTAATTTTCTTCCAGAATCAGTTTTTTAAAAGCTGGTAGGTAACAGCTTCTGAAAAGTGATTCTGATTCTGCTTTAAAAAAGAAGCAAGGAGAATAAGTTCCAAACAGCCCTTATTAATATCCCATTCCCAGGTTGAAATCGGCAATATCAAATCCCAAATAACGAAATTACGGGGGGTGTATTCATTCAAGACATTTTAAGACATTTTAGGATTTGTCAAATCTGGGTGTATTTAATTAAGACATTCTAAGACATTTTATAAATCCCAAAATGTCCAGGTGTATTCATGTTGGACTAAGACATGGATTTTCATTTAAGACTTGGACATATCCGGACTCTACACACCCAAATACAAAGGCAAATCCCATTTTCAAGTCTCATCCCCAAGGGTGAGATTTGTAATCCATCAACGTGAGACGCGGAGGAGAAAAGTCGCAGCAGTTAGGTCGCAGCAGCGAAGGGGGTGTATTCCTCTGTGGGAAACTTCTCTGTTGCAGCTGTTAGGTCACCGGAGTCGCCGGATACGTTCGCCCCTTGCTTCGATTTCTTCCCCAGCTGGATGAATCCTTAACTCCGCCGGAAAAAGGTCGCCGGAATCTTCTGTGGTGTGGTCTGCAAACTCATTGAATCCCTGAAATAAAGCTTCAATCTTGGAGCTTCAAGTCTGCACCCTTAAGCTATAGGAACATAAATATACGGGATGGCCGAGTGAGTAATGGTGGAGGGGTTGATATCTGACCTAGGATTATTAGATGGGTGGAATTAGATAAGTGGGGGATTGGGGCGGTGGGTTGTGTGATGCACTGAGACATGGTATTAGATTATGATTGCAGGTATGGATTCGGATATCAGGAAGCTCACTTAGTCCATTTTTGTCTCTATATGTCTTACTTCAAATTCCATACAATCTTGAGAAGTCTATACAATCTTGACGGAGTCACATGATCAAATACAACCCGCATGTTGTTAATATCGGCAATATCAAATCCCAATTAACGAAATTGCTTGGCTTCTACGTGTGAAGTTCGTCCATGGAGATGCTGAACACGGATTTCATCGGCGGAGAAAAAACATTCAACTTCTCGAATTTTGATCCATCATATTTGGAAGGAAAAACAAGCGATGATAGCAACCATAGCACCATATCGAACGAGGAAATACCACCGGTGTCACATGAAACATTGGGAAGCGACGGCGACGACGACGCCAAAAGTTTCAACAGTGAGGATTATGCCGGAAGCAGGAGCGAGTATGAGAGTGAAGAAGCTTGGATTGAGAAGAAGGTGTACATTAGACGGTTGGTTGAGTCACAGGTGACCTATCAGCGTGCCCTGTCCTTTCCTTTTGTTATGCGGTTATCAATTATAGTGACTTAACAATAGATTATTTTGTTCTGTAATGGTTCAGTTTTACTGTGTTGTTAGGGTTTTGATGTCCCCCCGTACCAGATGGTATCCAATTTGGCGCAGTATATCCACTCTATACGGAGGAGGCTTTGGAGGGGTATGTGGAGGAGGATTCAGAGGAGGATCCAGAGGAGAATTCAGAGGACGACGATAAGTATCGATCTGATTATAGCTTCGTGAAGGATTACACCTCCATGGCCATTGATAAGTACAATGCTGACGTATGTGCTATATAGTAATTCTTTAAAGTAATATCTTTCCTCTGCTCTCTTGTTAATCTGTATCTTTCTCTGAGCTTGCTTGGTTTGCTGATTTCTGTGAATAGAAGGATCGATTTTTGTTTTACTATTTCACCTATAATTGTTAGTTGTTTTAATGAGAAATACTAAAATAGGTACTAGTACATGATTAGTTGGTCCCTGTATTTGTATATCGTTATTTACCTTCAATATACCTTTGACCTTCCTTCCCATCTAAAATATCTGAACCAAACAAACCGTATGTCATTCAGTGACGTGGGCCTGATTGTGTAGATTTTGAAATTGTCCAAGGCTTGACCAGCATAATCCCTGCCCAACTTAGAACTCCAGTAGAGGAGACACATGTAGTTCTACAAGCACAATGCACAGCGAGGCAGTGAAATATAGCCCTTGTAAGTCTGGGCATCGTAGGTACCATGAGTTGTGCGCCTCTATTTTCTTCGAACAATTTCCATTATCCTTTTTTTTCCTGATAAGCTGTAATTTTTTTAGAGGGAATATTTATCTGTTACAGTCATCAGGTTTGTTTGCTTTATGTTATGTTATGTTATGTTATGAATGTTATGCATTTTGAACTATTGAAGTTTGAAGTTGTTAATATTGTGAGTTTTGATGTCCATATTTGTGTATGATTTAGTTCATACATGAAGCATATCTCTATGTTAATATTCAAAACATGGTGTTTATGTTTTGAGTTCAAGATAATCTGTAACGATAATCCGTTTTAGCGTACATATACGCCTTTGACCTCAGTTGTCTGCGCCTAGCTCCTTGACTATTGTAACCTATGTTTTCTCTATGCGCCTTTTGAAACTTAGGATCAGAACAGTTCTGTTCTTTTGTTAATTTTATGAACTGACTAATTTTTTATGGGAATTTTAGAATGCAAAGCTGGAACTAGTGCGGATCAAGAAAGTAAACTATGGACTTTGTTGTGGTTACAATTACTATATAACCTTCCTTGCCAAAGACACCATATCGGGAGAGGTGAAGACTCTTCAAGCCAAGGCTTACCATTGCATATTCAAAGAAGATAGAAGTTTGACTTTCATGAGGTTGGCACCTGGACAGCAATGGTAATAATGTCCTATCTCTGCATCTAGCTAAAGTTCATGTTCTGTATTCCCACAATTAATTTGGGTGATTATTCCATCACTTGCCATTGTAGTAGTAATCTTTTCCGAGCTCACATTATAAAATTGTGATTGATAGTTGTGTATAACTACTGTTGGATTATCCTCATATTTTAAATCACACTGCACAGTTTCTTTGCATAATAATAACTTTGCAAAAATATTTGAGTGCAGCCCAATGTAGAAGTTGTCTTCTATTCTTCTTTTCTTCTTTGGACCCCTGCCTCTCTGTTCTCCACGTTCCCTTTGAACCCCTGCATCTCTGGTTCTTCATGTTCTCCTTGAAGTTTCAACCCCTGCCTCTCTTTTAGCTTCGTTGACTCTCCTGCGTGCTTGCTGTTGACGCATTTCATTTTACTTGCAGATTACCCAATCCAAGTGCGAATGAGAATAGTAAATTTGAGCTGCTGGAGAATGGTGTTGGAGCTGATGCCATTGAATTTTAATTATGGCGTGATAGTGTCTGTCTGTCTGAGCTACAAATAATTGGAACCGCTCATTGATGTAAGCGATATAAGGAGAACTTCAAGGCTAGGCTACTATGGAGGAATCTTGCTGCTGCTATTACTACTACTACTATTAATATTATTATTATTGTTATTATTATTATTATTATTATTAGTATTATTATTAGTATTAGTATTAAGATGTTTTCTTTTGGACTGTTTTCAGTCCCAGACCAGACTTAAACAGACCAGACCAGACCAGACTTGGATAGTTATAAAATACACAGAGACCAGACGTTTACCAGACCAGACCAGACTTAAACAGACCAGATCAGACCAGACCAGACCAGCAAATTTCAGTTCAAAAGAAAACATCCTTAGTATTAATATTAGTATTAGTAGTAGTAAAATTATGAACATTACCACCACCGCACCACGGGTCTACCATCACCATGGGCATCATTGTTATTATTGTTAGCGTCACCATTATTTTGTTGTTGTTGTTGTTATTTTATTATTATTATTATCATCTTCTTCTTCTTCATCATCATCATTTTTGTTATTATCTATCACCATCGTATGTGTAATCAATTTAAAATCGAATTCTAAAGTGTTCTCATTTAAAAAGTAATTTAGGTTATTTGATTCAACCGTTATGCATATTATCTATTCTTTTAATGATATATGTATATAATGATGAATTTTTCTTTTTAAGGCAGTGACTAAATAAAAAAATCCCAAAAAATATGCAATTTAGTTTGTTATTTTATTAAAAAATTAAAAGCAGTATTGGATTATGGTTGAAGTAGCATTAAAAATGTGTTGATAATGTGGATTGAATATGTAAGTGTGCAACTACATTTCAAAATAAAAATATGACTTTATTAAGCACAAATAGAATATTTTAATTATAGTAGAAGATTTTATTTGATCATTTTTCCAAAACCTTATAAACACAAATAGAATATAAGCACAAATGCACAACAGTGATTTTGTTTCAAGATATATTATTAATTTTTTATGGACTTTCACATTCACATTACTTAAGCAACTTGGGAAGTTTATTACTTATTAGCTTAAAGCTAAAGTAAACAAAAGTTACTAAACGTGAAAAGGGGTAACATGGCTGAAGTTTTTTTTGTCAAATCTAAAGATTCAGAAAAAAAAAAAAGCAAAAAAAGAGAGAGAAACATAGTCCAATTGATAAAGTGCAAAGGACCGCATTCTGGTCTCCAGTTTTGGAAAGTTGGGATGGAACTTTAAGGCCATTGAAACTTTTTAGTGTCTTTTTAGTCTCGAAAATCAGGGGATTTTTGGAAAATGTTTTAAAAATTGCATTAATGATCAATTTTGGACAATATTTTGAGTAGGATTCACTTCCGATTTCGGTCGGGTCAAAGTGGTTTTGAGTTTCCCTTGTTAAAGGCTACAATTTGATATGTGGTACACTCAAAACGGGTGAATGAGAAATTGATTCTCGAAATTCACTCGTCGAAATGCAGAAAACTAAAAAAATGTTATGTTTCTAATGTGATATTTCCATAACGGAAAACATAAGAGGTTTTCATTCCCTTATCAAGGGAACCTTCTTTGAAGGAGTTACGATTTCTAAGTGAACAGACTCTCTTCTCGCGCAGGGGGTGCGATCAAATTCCGAAAACGTAGAAGTAAAATCGCAACATGCGAACACAAATGTCATCCGAAAAGCTATCTTCTAAGAATAAGATTTAATTTTTGTTTATTCCCACAACGTTCCTATTTTTTGGCTCCAGGACTAGCCCTTTGACTATTGTGATTAATATTTATTTAATTAATATTTTGTTTTCCGAGTTCACACCAACAATGTACACCCACAATCATATTATTGCTACACACTTTTTGTGTAAATCAAAATTACTGTTCAACTAAATTTTTTGGTTTTCGGATATAAAGTTGGATTTCATATTTTGACAAGATTAGCATTTTTCTCTAAATTGGCCAAGATTAATCTGTCATGTTTTGGCGGCAAACCTCGAAAATTATTTTCAAGGTAGATTAGTAATTAATTTTGAAGGCTAAGCTGCCAACTTAACGGGCAGATTTATGTTGATGGTGTGCGTGGAGGACCGGAGGTGAAGTGATGGCCTTAGATTTAACACTAGCAAGGTCACAAACATTAGTTTTGTGTCTATCTCCACAAACATTAATTTCCGTGTAAAAACATTTCAGTGTCTATATGCTTACGCGTAGCTCCCATGTGCCAACGCACCATTTATTTTTGTCTGACATTTGTGTACAAGTTGTGCACAACTTGTGTACAAAAAACATTTCTATTATAGGCCGTTTGCCAACGCTGTTTCTGGTTTATGAGGCTTATCAGCCAACTTTTTCACCAAACACGTAATTTTTGCTTTGACGCTCTGAATTGTGTAATAAGCCGAAAAAGTAGGTTGAAACTACTTTTCTGGCTATATTGGCTGAAGTTACTGTAAATGATCATTTTAGCTATTTTACATATAATTTTTTCTTTGTTTTATTAATAAAATATATTTTAATTTTTTTTTCTTAAATCAGCAGAATCAGTCAATGCAGCTACTTCAGCCAGAACTTCATCAATTTCAGCAGAATCAGCCAATCAACATATTTTCATGCTACCAAATGGGCTCTTAGTCTTTTAAAATAAAATGATATATAATTCCTTTGGTAACTCTCTTTTTCGTCTCATCACACCTATCAACTAATTTTATCACGCGTGCTGCATTCTGTTCTAAATAAGAAAAAATAATGTAAACTTACTTTTATTGTGGCTAAAGTTACCAATACTATGAGAATTGGTAGAAAATTATTTAAACTTTTTTCATATAAATTTTCCTTTTTTTCTAATAAAAAATATTAAATATAATGATCAAAATACCAAGCCTATACAGTTTTTTATACTTAAAATTTAAAAATCCACAATCATGATTCATGAGCAATCACTAAGGCAAATATCCTTAAGGCATTAGGGCTCGTACAACCTAAACGGAGTCACATGATCAAATACAACCCGCATGTTGTTAATATCGGCAATATCAAATCCCAATTAACGAAATTGCTTGGCTTCTACGTGTGGAGTTCGTCCATGGAGATGCCGAACACAGATTTCATCGGCGGAGAAAAAACATTCAACTTCTCGAATTTTGATCCATCATCTTTGGAAGGAAAAACAAGCGATGATAGCAACCATAGCACCATATCGAGCGAGGAAATACCACCGGTGTCACATGAAACATTGGGAAGCGACGGCGACGACGACGCCGAAAGTTTCAACAGTGAGGATTATGCCGGAAGCAGGAGCGAGTATGAGAGTGAAGAAGCTTGGAAGGAGACGAAGGTGTACATTAGACGGTTGGTTGAGTCTCAGGTGACCTATCAGCGTGCCCTGTCCTTTCCTTTTGTTATACGGTTGTCAATTATAGTGACTTAAAAATAGATTACTTTGTTCCATAATTGTTCAGTTTCACTGTGTTGTTAGGGTTTTGATGTCCCCCCCTGTACCAGATGGTATCCAATTTGGCGCAGTATATCCACTCTATACAGAGGAGGCTTTGGAGGAGGATTCTGAGGAGGACTCAGAGGAGGATCCAGAGGAGGATCCAGAGGAGGATTCAGATGACGAGGATCAGTATCCATCTCATTATAGCTCCGTGAAGGATTACACCTCAATGGCCATTGATCAGTACAATGCTGATAACGTATGTGCTACATAGTAATCCTTCCAATTAATATCTTTCCCTTGCTCTCTTGTCAATCTGTATCTTTCTCTGAACTTGCTTGGATTTTTTATTTCCGTGAATGGAATGATTGATTTTTATTTTACTATTTCACCTATATTTGTTACGGAATAGTTGTTTTAATGAGAAATACTAAAATAGGTACATGATTAGTTCGTCCCTCCATTTGTATATCGTTATTCATCTTCACTATTACCTTTGACCTTTCAAATGGACAAATAGTTTAAAACTCTATATCTTCCTTCCCATCTAAAATGTTTGAACCTAACAAATGTGATGTTGTTCAGTGATGTGGGCCCGATGGTGTAGATTTTAAAATCGTTCAATTCTTGACCAGCATACATTGAACTCCGGTAGAGGAGAAGCACGTAGTTCAAATGAGCACAATGCATAGTGAGGCAGTGAAATATAGTCCCTGTAAGTCTGGGCATCGTAGGTTCCATGAGTTGTGCGCATCAGGATGCCTTGTCCTAGGTGTGAGGCACAGAGCCTCTATTTTTTTTTCCAAGGATTTCTATTATCCGGTTTTTTTTCATGATAAGCTGTATTTTTTTAGAGGGAATATTTATCTGGTACAGTCATCTAGTTTGTTTGCTTTATGTTATGAATTTTGAACTTTTGAAGTTTGAACTTGTTAATATTGTGAGTTTCGATGTCCATATTTGTGCATGATTTAGTTCGCATTATGCTCTGTTAGAGATATAGTCTTATATTATGAAGCATATTCCTATATTAATATTCAAAACATGGTGTTAATGTTTTGAGCTCAAGATGATCTGTAAAGATAATCCGTTTTAGCATACAGATATGCCTTTGACTTCAGTTTTCTGTGCCTAGATCCTTGACTATTGCAACCTAAGTTTCCTCTAAGCACCTTTTGAAACTTATAATCAGAACAATTCTTTTCTGTTGTTAATTTCATGAACCAACTAATATTTTTATGGGAATTTTAGAATGCAAAGTTGGAACTAGTGCGGATCAAGAAAGTAAACTATGGACTTTGTTGTGGTTACAATTACTATATAACCATCCTTGCCAAAGACACCATTTCGGGAGAGGTGAAGACTCTTCAAGCCAAGGCTTACCATTGCATATTCAAAGCAGATAGAAGTTTGACTTTCGTGAGATTGGCACCAGGACAGCAATGGTAATAATATCCTATCTCTGCATCTAGCTAAAGTTCATGTTCTGTAATCCCACAATTAATTTGGGTATTATTCCATCACTTGCCATGGCAGTAGTAATCTTTTCCCGGCTCACATTATAAAAATGTGATTGATAGTTGTGTGTTACTACTGTTTGATTGGCCTATTATTTTAAATCATACTTTACAGCTACATCTTCTTGTCTTTGAACCCATGCCGCTCTGTTCTCCTTGAAGTTTCAACCCCTGCCTCTCTTTTAGCTTCGTTGACTCTCCTGCGTGCTTGCTGTTGACGCATTTCATTTTACTTGCAGATTAGCCAATTCAAGTCCGAATGAGAATAGTAAATTTGAGCTGCTGGAGAATGATGTTTGAGCTGATGCCATTGATCTGCAAATGTTTTAATTACTTGTGGTGTGATAGTGTCTGAGCTGCAAATAATTGGAACTGCCCATTGATGTAAGCGATATAAGGAGAACTCTAAGGGTACTATGGAGGAATCTTGCTACTATTATATTATTATTATTATTATTATTATTATTATTATTATTATTATTGTTGTTATTATTATTATTATTATTATTATTATTATTATTATTATTATTATTATTATTATTATTATTATTATTATTATTATTATTATTATTATTATTATTATTATTATTATTAT